GAGAGAGATAGAAGCATTAGTGATGAGAGAGAATCATTGACTGCCTCCTGCATACCCCTCCCCCCCCCAACTGGGGATCACAACCTGAGCATGTACCTTGACTGGAATTGAACTGTGATCTCCTGGTTCATAGGTCGACACTCAACCACTGAGCTACTCCTGGCCAAACCCATTTCTGATTTTAGGAGCTAATTTATATGGAACCTAGAGAAATTTTTTAAGAGCTTAGAATTTAAAAAATTGTACAAAATGAAAGACTCTTAGGTACTCCTAGCCAGTTTGGTTCAGTGGATAGAGCATCGGTCTGTGGACTGAAGGGTCCCCAGTTGGATTCTAGTCAAGGGCACATGCAACAAGGGTTGTGGGCTCAATCCCCAGCAGGGGCATGCATGAGGCAGCCAATCAATGGTTCTTTCTCATCATTGATGTTTCTATCTCTCTCTCTTTCTCCCTTCCTCTCTGAAATCAATAACAAATATATACATACCATATATAAGACCCTTAGGTAGAAAGGAGAGGAACAAGGAAGTTACAATGGCAAAAAGAGCTTGGTTATTGCAAGGCCACTTTTTATTTTATAGAATTTAAGGTGAAATGTACACTTAAGTTTCTTTATAAAACAGGAATTTTGGATAAAAAATTAAAGCGATATGAATAATAATAGTAACATTCTCCTTAGACTCTTGCCAGGCCCTGGGGTATGGGCTTTGCCTGTGTCATCTCATGACACACCTGAGGGAAGGTGTTATTTGGCTTCATTTCCAGAGGCTGGGGAGTTGGAGACACCCCATCACCACTTCAGCAAAGGCAGAGCTGGACTGAGTCCCAGAGTAGCCAGGATCCTTAGCTCTTACTCTGCCCCAGAACCCCTCATGAACCGAAATTGCCAAATTTCTATTTTGTTTTTGTTGTTGTTGTTTTCTCAGCCTATTCTAAATTTTTAAAAGCAAATATAAATTAGTATTTAAGAAAAAAAAAATGTACAAGAGGCTGAGTCCAGCAGGCAAAAGTGAAGCTGGCAGTGGATTCCTGAGGGGTTCTGGGCTATGCAGTGAAGCTTTTCTTTGTGAGAACAATTCAGTAAAGGTTAAGATTAGTCTACTCCTTGACAGCCTCTCTTGCATCCCATTTTGAAAGTCAGAATTGTAGCCTCAGTATGTGCACGGCATGGTGGTTGGTTCTAGTGTTCTGTGGAAAAGACATCAGTTCCTGTTTTTAGGAGACTCATGTTCTAGATAGAAAAAAATACGAAGTTAAACAATTACAATGCAGCGTGATAAGGGTTAATATAGGGGTAAAATAGGGTGCCGTGAAAGGACAAAGAGAATGACTCATTTCATCTGGGCTAGAATGACTCATTTCATTTAGTGCTAGAGTTCATGTTAGGGTTAGGGTTAAGGCTAGGCTTAGCGTTAGGGTTATTTTCATGGTTAGGGCTAGAGCTAGAATTAGGGTTAGGGTTAGGTTTAGGGCTAGGGTTAGGGTTAGAGTTAAGTTTAGGGCTAGGGTTAGGTTAGGGGTCTATATTAGGGCTAGGGCTAGGGCTAGGTTTAGGGCCAGAGCTAGGGTTAGGGTTAGGGTTAGAGTTAGGGCTAATTTAGGGTAAGGGTAGGGTTAGGGTTAGTGTTAGGTTTAGGGTTAGTGTTAGTGTTATGGTTAGGGCTAGGGAAAGGCTTATTATTATGGTTAGGCGTAGGATTAGTCTATGGCTGGGTTTAGGGTTAGTGTTACTGTTAAGATTAAGGCTAGGGCTAAGGCTAGTGCTAGGGTTAGTGTAAGGGTTAGGGTTAAGGTTGGGGTTAGGGTTTGGAACTGGGTCCTTGGTTGTACATTGGAATTACCTAGAGACCTAGTGTTAGAGTTGGGGTTAGGGCTAGGGCTAGAGTTAGGGTTGTGTTAGGGTTAGGATTAGGTCAATTGTTAGGGTCAGGGGTAGGGCTAGGGCTAGGGTTAGGGTTAGAGTTAGGATTAGGGCTAGGGCTAGGGCTAGGGTTAGGGTTAGGTTTAAGTCTAAGTTTAGAGCTAGGGTTAGGGTTAAGATTAGGGCTAGGTTGCCCTAGCTGGTTTGGCTGAGTGGATAGAGCATCAGCCTGCGGACTTAAGGGTCCTGAGATCAATTCCAGTCAAGGGCACATGGCATGGTGGTGGGCTCGATCTCCAGTAGGGTGTGTGCAGGAGGCAGCCAATCAATAATTCTCTCTCATCATAGATTTTTTTTTAAATCTCTCTCCCTATCCCTTTCTCTCTAAACTCAATAAAAATAAATAAAAATAAAAAGATTAGGGCTAGATCTAGGGTTAGGGTTAAGTTTAGGTCTAGGGTTAGGGTTAGTGCTATGGTTAGGTTTAGGGTTAAGATTAGGACTAGAGCTAGGGTGAAGGTTAGGGTTAATGTTATAGTTAGTGCTAGGGTGAGGTTTAGGATTAGGGTTAGGGTTAGGCTGAGATTTAGGGTTAGGGTTAGGGTTTAGGGCTAGGTTTAGTGTTAGGGTTAGGGCTAGGGTTAGGTGAAGTCCTGCCTCTTTGGGTAATGTGTTGAGATGAGGCTTACTAATGCTTATATAACCACAGTCATGTAACCCTGAAACTGCTATAAAAATACTCTATAGTGTCATACCAGCCAGCCTTTCCCATGGATATAACACCTGGGTTCTACCTGAGCTCAGTATCTCCCCGCTGAATGGGTCCTGGATTATGAAGCAATGCTGATGCATTCACTGATGGCCAGTGTGTGGCCTGAGTAGTTAATTATGTACAAGATGCAGCGGAAATTAGCACGCTGACTTACCAGAGCTTGAGCGAGAGTGAAAGTGTGCACACACACTTATACTCCTCCATTAACCTCCACTTGCTACCATTTATCCAGCTCCTTTGCGTGGTGTTAATAAAAGGATAGTTTAAGTGAAAATACCATTGTTCTAACTTGGAAACTCTGGTGGCTTCAGAAGGATTATTAGAAGATCCTAAGCTGCTCCTTTTCCCTTCAAACAGTATGAATCAAAATCCACCAAGTTATGAATAGTTCCTTTGTTTTGGGATGGAGTGACGAGGGCTCTATTTTTCGCACCTTTCTTGGGACATTGGTGAAGTAATAAAAATGATCTTTTTTTTTTAAAGAGGAAAAACCTGGAACCCAGAAAGAGTGAGTTGCTGGCAGCTGCTACCCTTTGTAGACTCCTTATAACGACCAAGTTCTTCCATTTCACATGGCCTCCTGTGTTCTCACAAAACCTGAGGCACCGTGTCCTCTTCATCTTTGACATGCGGAAGCTGACCGGCTCAGAGATGGAAAGTGGGCTGACCAAGGCCACATAGAGTGTGAAGAGCTCAGCTTGACTTCCAACTCAGGACGCTGTTCATCTGGAGGCTGGTAGAGCCTGTTCCCTGGCACAGGCTCAGACCTGAGTGCCCTGTGTCGTGTTGCTGAGCGCACCCTCCCCCCCTTCACCCCTCCCCCCATGTCTCCTGCTCTATGTGGCATAATTTGCCCTGGATCACATTCTGCCCCAGGGAGTGAGAACAGCCCTAGGAGGGGAATAACAGAAAAGGAACACAATCTAAATGATAAAGGCTATTCTGACCTTATGGGAATATTGGTGCCCCTACAGAGGCTAGGGGAGGAAAACTGGGAAA